TTATAGCTTGGCACACCCAGGGGACCCAAGCAGGGGAAAGCGTAGCAGGCTGTTTGGAGTGCTGGAAGGGCAGAGCCTCCCAGGAGCCCACAGACAATGTTTCCTGACTCTGCTGCTGAAATCCACCAGCATGAAATAGAAACAAAGAAACTGAGTGAGCCAGAGGGGGCCTCCTGGGCCATCTAGTCTGACCCCAGCTCCAGTCAGCTCCGCTCACAACATGCCCACCATGCGCATGTCCCGCCTATCCTTGAACACCCGCACCAATGGGGCCTTCACCACCTCCCATGGAAGCCCATTCCACACCCTCAGGGTCCTAACCATCAGGAAGTGCTTCCTGGCATCCAAACTGGACCTTGGTTCCTTGAGCTTGGCTTTGAGCAAATGTTTGGCTTGCTCAAAGGGTGTTCTGTTGATGTGTACCTTGAGCATCTCCTCCCTCAACAGCGTAATAATATTTATATTGACCCAGGCCAGGAATAACTTGGAGGTGAAATGAATGTTGCTCTTCTTCTCAGGTATGTGCCACTCTCCAAACTAATTATTTGGGTGAGTTTCTTGCTCCGAGAGATGCTTTATTAGCAGCCCGCATGTCAATAGTGGGGTGGGGAAAGGTGGGATGGGAGAAATGCTGCCTAACCTTCAAGCCACGTAATAATTTTGCAGCTCAAATTAGCATCATTTATAAATATCCAAGGCCCATCAAACAGGTCAAAGCCACTAAACCTGCGAAGAAAAATAGTCATTTATAATAAATCGCATCCTGAAATCACACAAGTGTCGTTGTGGTTCTTTGCAGCTCCAGCGAACAGCGAACAGCTACTTTCTCTAATCTCTTACCAAGTCCTCCACACGTACTAGGAGGCACAGGAGAAAGTACAGGGAGACACTGTCTAAAGGAACACGCACCGCCACATATACTGGCCCATGTCCTTGGGGTCTCTTCTGAAGCCCCCTTCCAAGTCTTCCTGCCAAATGAAGTCGGCAGGTGGCTGCAAGGCACGCGGCCTTCTCGGTGGTGGCACCCCGCCTGCAGAATGCCCTCTCCAAGGAGGCTCACTGAAAGCACACCATGGTATATTTTTGGCACCAGAAAAATATAGTCTCTTCCCCCAGGGAAACCGTTACTGCAGGAATGTCAGAAACCTTTCAGTCCAAAGGTCAAATTCTATTTTGGGGGACTTTGAGGGGATGTGTTTGGAGAAGGCCAAAGAAGAAAGGCAGGAGGCTGAGCCAAAATATCCCAAGATGCCAGTTACCACCAACCCCAAGAAAAGATTCCAACTTTTCAGAGTGGAGAAACATGACACAAAATCAAGGAACCACTCACCAAACGGGCAGTCGGGGAAAGGGGGTGTGGCCTGGGGAAGGGGGCGCGGCCATCCGGGGAGCCCCAGGGGGCCACATTTTGCCCCCAGATGGGTCAGATTCTGCCACAGGCCTAGATTAGCACACTTGCCTTATTGTATGTTTTCTTGTCCTTTCTAACGGGCAAGTAACTCTTTTCTAACCTATCTTATCATGTGAGCCACCCCAAGGATTCTTTTGCCGGCTGCATTCAGGTTGGCTGGGCATGATGGGAGTTGCAATCCGACACATCGGCAGGGCACCAAGTAAGGAAGGCTGGCCAAGGCAACACTAAGCCGATGGCGGTGAACAAGCCGCCTCAGGATCGGCCCCTGAACCCCTCGTCTCCTGGCACCCACCTTGCTGCTGGGAGAAAGGGGGCGCCTCGCCCCCCGAGAGACCACCACGCTTCCTTCTCGGGGGGAAGGACAGCAGAAGGGCCTCGATGCTCGGCCCGTGCCCCTGCCAAGGCAGAGACGGGCCACTGCAGCCCCGTGCCAGGCAGCCTCCCCCCAAGCCCCCAACCGCCCTGCAAAGCTGCCTGCGCTGCAGGCCAGCTTAGGCCTTCCCGGCATCTGAAGCTGCTGGTTCGCATCCTGCCTTCTGCTGCGACAGGAAGGGAAGTTCCCCCTTCATTTATGCAGCAACACTTCACCTACGTTGCCTCTTGATTGTCTTTACATCAAGCCAGGCACGCCCAACTCATTTTACCTTTCTTTATGGGACTCACAGAAAGGCAGGGTGGAGTAGTGGTTAGAGTACTGGACTGGGACTCAGGAGATCTGGGTTCTAATCCCCACTTGGCCATGAAATATGCTGGGCAACTTTGGGCAGTCACGGGCTCTCCGCCTAGCCTACCTCACAGGGCTCCTGTGAGCAGGGAGTGGAGGGGCGGGGGGATTGTGAACACTGTCTTGGGCTCCTTGCAAGGGGAAGAAGCTGGGATAGGGCTATGATGGCATTTTTTGACGGATCTGGTCTCCCATGCCTCTCCCCATCGTTCTGTCCTCCACTAGAAACATCATTGCTCTTGTGTGCCATCAAGTCATCTCTGACTCGGGACGACCCGTGAATGGAAGCCCTCCAAAGCACCTTGCTCGTGAGAGCCCTGCTCAGCTCTTGGAAGCTCAGGGCTGCGGCTGCCATTATGGAGTCGGTCCACCTCGTCTTTGGTCTTCCCCTTCTTCTACTCGCATGACGGTCTTCTCCAGGGAGTCTTGCCCTCTCCTGGACAAGTTCCAGTTGCTCAATCCGATTTCTGTTTGTGTCCTGCCTATCCCCCAAGGCTGGCACCCAAGGTTCCCCTCCCTTGATCCTCAGAACAACCCTGTAAGGTAGGCTAGGCTTACAGCCACTTACCGGTCTCGGGTTGCCCAGCTGGTTTCGCAGGTGCTTGGGAGCTTTAAGGTCCAGCCCAGCCCAGAAACCACAACTCAAGGACTCAGCTTTGGTCCCAACTGACAGGGAAGGACATCTTTGGAGAAGCCACTAAAATTGGCAAGAGACAAGCCCTGGGACAGAGCCAAGCTTCCCTAAGGAAATTCTGCGTGCTCAGGGAAAATAAGCAAACAGGGGGAGGCAGGTTGCCCAGGGCCAGATATTGAACAAAGAGAAGTGAAGCAATTGGGAAAAGAAGCGTGTCTCACACCAGTTGAAAGGGGAGGACCTTCTTCCAAGCCAAATTCAGTTTCGGGAAGCTCACAGTGGGGGTCCCTTGGTTGGGTCAGCCTCAGGGCGAAGGAGGCAGGTCCAAACAGACCAAAAAGTTGGCACACTGCACAGGGAGCTCTCCGTGGCCAGTCGGAAAAGCCCCGGGAAAGGCATTCCAACTGCTTAGAATGGCATCCAGCGGAAGTACATACGGGAAAGGGACATGGCCGCCACTCGAAGCCCCAAGACAGATCTGGGACACATTTGCCCTGGTTCTGTGCTTTCCCGCCACTGTGCCAAGAGCCGCAGGGGTACAGGCAGCAGAACAGACTGGGTGACGGATCTGATGCACCAGACCCTAGCAGCTTCAGACACGCACGGCAGGCATAAGCAAACGAGTCGCCATGTGCGGTTATTCCCTGCATCGGCCCCCGTCACGGACATGGGCAGCCCTCCCAGCTTCCAGTCCAGCATATGCGCTCCTGCAGCACCTCCCAGCGAGCCCAGCCAATCCACCAGAGCATCTGGTGCATCTCCAGCCTGAGGAGGAATTCATTCTCAACATTCAGCTTCATGAAAAGTCTCCTTTTTTTTTTTTTTTGAAAAGCAAAGCTTTTTTAAGCAGGTTTCTAGCCCTCATGGCTGCAAAGTTTTTTTAAAGAAGGTTTCTGGCCCTCATGGCTGCAAAGATATGCTTGGGAGCATATGGATAATGGCCCACCAAGTCATAAAGGCCTAAGTAGGTGCTGTATAGGGTTTTCAGTAGTTAAAGGATGAGACTTTCGCAACACTTGCCTCTCCCTGTGAATGAATTATGCAAAATCAGAGGCGCCACACCAACTGAGCCAAACTGCATAATGTATCCAGGCCACAGAATTTAAATTGAAACACACCCTGAAAAACACAGCAGAACTGAAAAGTAGCACAGCTTATGGGTCCGCGTTGGCCCAGGGTCAGGAAGACTCAGGTTCAGTTTCCTAATTGGTCATGAAACTTACAGGATAACTTTTGGCCAGTCACTCTTTCTCTGCCTGGCCTACCTCACAGGACTGGGGTGAGGATAAAGCCTTGTACACCACCTGGCACTCCCTGGAAGAAGGCCAGAATATAAAATTTAATAAATGGTGTTCGGTCCCAGGGAAGGATTTGGGCTGGCTGCTTTTGCTCTCCTGCCTTCTGACGCCCAAGGCACAGCATTGTGGTCCGTGAACACCGAAAGCCACTGTGGCACAGAGTGCTGGATTGGGGCGTGGAATTCCCAAGTCCTCGGCCATGAGGCTCACTGGCTGATGTCGGGCCAGTCCCTCATCCTCATCCTCATGGGGTTTCTGGCACAGCAGTAACTACGAATGCCTGAACTGCACACAATTTCATGCCCCTCCGAAAGTGCTGCCACCATAGACCATGCGGGCAGCTCAGCCATCTTCAGTGCCGCAGCTCTGTATGCCCAGATCCGGCAAGCGCTCCAGCAGGAGCCATGCCCAGAGCTGCAGCGGCACACGCCCCCGAGGCTGGAGGATGCCCAGAGGAGCAATGGCCATGATCCAGCTACATACAATGCAGAACACACTTGGGCTGGCTAGCGCAACGAAGTGGAAAACAGAGCGACGGACGAAGCAGGAAGGCCCTGGTTTGACTCTCCGTGTACTCCATTCTTTCATCCAGTTGTAGCCGCACACACCACAACAGGGGAAAAGCGAAAGAGACGCAACCTGCAAGGCCAAGACTACAAGACGATGACATCTGAGAAGTGACTGGAAGACTGGAAAATGCCATTCAGATTCTAGGAACAAGGCTGCAGGTGCGCAGACCTAGAAAAACGGGCAAAAATGCCCAGAGGCTGTCTTTTTCCCATGGGCATCTAACACAAAAGACAAGCCCTCCCACCTCCACATGCTAAAGATGCTGGCGCACTGCTCCCAGGTGCCCTGGGCCAGGAGAGAAAGCCTCCCCTCCCAGCAGACCAAGCCATGCCAGGGCACCACTGGATGCAAGGGACTCACCAGCTCATCCAGGTTTTTGAGGTCGCACAAAGTTATCCTCTGTGATCGGCTGGGGTAAACAGGAGACGCGGGCCCGAGCTCTTGACTAGCCCGCTCGGCCTCCAACTCTCCGTAGGCTTTCTGGTCTCTCATCTCCTCCTCGATTTCCTCCTCCATTTGGATCAGCATGGGGGCCAGCATCCCAAACTTGGAGCCCTTCCGGGCCACCTCCAAGAGGCAGAGGACAAAGTTCTTCTCATTCTTCTTCAGCACCAGGTCATTGGTCTCAAACATCAGGACGTCCTGGATGCCCAGCTCCTGGCGGCACCACTGGATGAAATTGGAGATGTTGTCCCGCGCAACGAAGGAGCCGGGAACCACGTTCTTGGCCTGGAAGACCACCTCCTTCTGCGGGATCCTCATGCAGGCGGCAGCCTCCGGGTGCAACTGCTGGAACTCCAGGGCGGTGCGGTTGACGTTGTTGGCATGCTGGCAGAGGTCGTAACCAGTCTCCAGGGCGTCCATGAAGTTCTCCACCTGGACCTCAAGGTCATAGAGCGTGTTGAGCCACTCGGCCAGGTCCTCCTTCATGGCGTAGAGATACTCCTCGCTGGAGCGGAACGGGCGGATGCTCTTGGAAGCCGCCGACTGGATGTTGCTCTGGTCGGCCATCTTGCATGCTCTGGCAGTGGGTCACTGTTGGGGGAGAAGATGGGGGAAGCCACGGATCAGAAAGGCGACAAGGAGCACACAAAGCGATCCTCATCCGCAGGGCCGGAGGCTCCAATGACCCGACCTGAACAAACGTGCCCCTGCTGGCTAGTGCGGGGCAGGCGACCTGAGACCCCCCGAGCTGTTGCGGTGCTGCAGTTCCCATCAGCTTTACCCAGCACAGCCAACGAGAAGGAAAGATGGGAGCTGGAGCCCTGCAGCATTTGGCTGGCCACACAGTGACCAGTTTTTTGTTATATCTTCATTCTGTCTCTCCTTTAAGAAAATAACGACATGCTGTCTTCTCAAAATATTTCGTGCCTGGCACCCTTTAATTAAAAACAGCAGCAGCAGCAAAAACATTATATTTAAGGAGAGAAATTGGTTGTTTTATCCTCCTCTAGAAATTCACTGCCATAAGATTGTGTTGATAGCTTAAAAACAACAAAAGAAAGAATTCAGACCTAATCTATTGCCTCTAGACACATTGATCTACAAGTTCCATCATCCCCAGTCTGGAAAGGGTAGGCACATTTCACCCCAAACACAGATACATGCTACGCTTTGATTTCTCCATTGATGTCTGCAGCCAAGCTCACTCGTTAATCCCTAGTGACATTTTAAAAGTGCTTCTTGAGCAGAACTAGGAACTTAACCAGAAAAGAAGAAAGCTTATAGTATTCTTTTAGATCAATATCACATGTATTCATTTGCAGTGCTTCTATACAGCTTAATAAAATGAGATCCCTAAGCAGTTTACATATCAATTCTAATATCAAATTTAAAATGCACAGTAAAAAGAATTGCAATTACAGAATAGTAAAAAGCAATTGATGAAAGATGGACTGGCATGTTTAGTTGAACCATGAGCCAGGCAAAGACAGGGTGAACTAATATGCTTTTGCGTGGTGTTTGGAACATGCTGTGATTTCTGCCCCCTGAACGACTTGGGGAAGGATTTTCCAAGGGGTGGGTGCCACCACCGAGAAGGTCCACCATCCAGGTACGATGTGACAGCATTTAATTAGTTTCAGTGGCCAGCGAGGCCCCTCTGGCAATGCTAGGGGTCAGCTGGGAATCGGGAGGGCCAGGCACTCTGCTAACTGTCCTCAACCCACGTTGCTTGGGGCTTTGTCTGACAAAGCTGCTCTAGCTGCAGCTTCCAAGCCCAGGGGCAGCCCCACACGGAGCGGAGGGCAAGACTGCAGCCTCATGGTGAGCTTCACAGGGCATAGATCACGAGGGCTTCCACTGGTCTTTATTGCTTCAATTGCTTCCTTTTAGATTTTAAAAAGTGCCTTTGACCAAACGTGAATTGTTTGCCTGCAACTTGAAGTCATTTCACTGCGAAGCAGGACAGATGTTTTAAATCAGTTCTGCAGGGAGGATTTTAACTGGGCTCCGCATCCTATGCCTGGTTTCTCTCCCTCTCGTATTCCCTTTCTTCATTTGAAAGAAAATATGCCACCAATCTTCAACAGATGCAGATTTTTAAAAAAAATCACTACAATTGGTGATTGCTCCTGGATAACAACAGCTGAAAGGCACTTTCTATCCTGCCTGATTTACAGTTTTGGTGAACAAAAGCAGGGTCAACATGTCAACACCCCAGAATGACGTTAAAGCTCCCAGTTTCCTTATTTTTTCATGTGGGATGAGCCATAAACCATATAAGGAACTTCTTGTGCAAGACAGAGAGAGGGAGAGAGAGACTTGAGATTGTCCAGATGTCATTAGACTATAATTTCCATCATCCCTGGCCACTGGCTATGCTTCCTTCAGCTGACTGGTCACCCTTATAACAAAAGTTTACATGTTAAGTAATTTGGCATACAGCCTTAAATTGAGCAAGAAAGGTGGTCACGTGGCTTCAGGGCTGTCAGACAGTGCCAAGGAACTTCTGACCTCAGTTGTATTTTCTGCCACGGAGCTACTGCTTCTGGTAGACATGTCATGCATGGGTGGAGCCAGGGGTCAGACTAGGTGACCTGGGAGACCCCTTCCGACTCGCTCTGTTTCTAGGTTTCTGTTTCTGCCCTCATTTCCCACCCCTTCTTTGTGCTTACGAGGGGTACAGTCTGCGTTATGCAGGAGGGGCAGCCAAGGATGCCAGCGAAGGCTTCTCCGTGGTGGCCCCGCAGTTGTGGAATGCCTGGCACCAACGTTGTCCTATTTTCAGCACCAGCTTAAGGCTTTCCTTGACAGCATGCAACCAGCTTTTAAATGTGCTGTTCCATCGTTTAGCCTGGTGTTTATTGTTAGTTCTTTTTAGCTGCTTTCAATTGTTGAAAATGCTTGCCTATTAAAGCTTTTCTCTTTGGGCCACCCTGTATTTTGCAGACAGCTCAGAGAGCTTTGCCTATTGACAGTATTGAAATGAAATGAGAGGAGGAAGGGGAAAGTCAGTTAACATCTTGGAACATTTCCATCCCTCAAGCATTATTGCACACTTAAAAAAGCAAGGTTTGATTGTAAGTCTGTGTCCACTGGGCCGGAGGCGTCCTCTTCAACCGAGTGCCAGCCACGTCCTGACAAACAGGGGCAGGGCAGGCTTCCAGAGGCACTGGGGGGATTTTTCCTTTGGGGAGCTGCTGCCAAAGAACTCAGTCCAGGGCTGGGCCAAGCTCTCTTCTTTTCAGGTGCCTGAACAAATTTCTTTTGGCTCTGGTCCCTGGTCTGAGGATGACTCATGACTCATTTCTCGTGTATTCAGGAGCTGAGCTGTGTTTCCCATTCAGAGCCTGTGAACACGGGGGTGGGGGGGGGATCTCTGCACTGATCTCCCCTGCCTCACAATTCACACTGCCGCATGCTGGGAAAAGCCGCCCTTTAGAACTTGGCTTGCACAGGCGTTTAGCCTCTGTTTTTTTAACACTGGCTCAGGCCAGGAATAAGTTGTCACAGAAACACGGATATGTCTGAACATGTGCAGAGTGCCCTTCAGGAGCCACAGCTAGCTCCACACACAGGGTTAAGGGAGGGGCACAGCTGGTGAACAGGCTCTTGACTCTGACACGTTCAGCCCTGAAGGGTTTGCTTAATCCTCTGGTCAGAGACCCCTGTGGCTGGAGTCCATTATTTATCCCCAAGCCCAAGCCACTAATCAGTGCTTTCCCACCGCTTGCTGTCCTTGGCGCTGGAGCAACTCGAAAGGCCTGCAATGCAAGGTCACAAAACATCTCCAGGCCCAGTACGGGTGTTGCGGCAAGGATGTGGGAACCGGCAGAGACACCCGGGTTCGAGTCAGAGCACTGCCCTGGCCTCTCTCAGCCCAGCCCGTCCTGCTGTGAAGATACTCCTGAACCCCGTGGAAGGGTAATATAATAATTGTGAGTGAACAGGAGGAAGTCCCCAGGTTGGGGGAAGGTGGGGACTTTGGTCCTGGGCTCTGGAGGCACCTGGCCGGGGAAAAGAGACATGAGGAAAGCAAGCTCATGCGGAGCAGACTGCAGGCTCGCTGCCCCCATCGGTGGCCAGCTGGATGGCCCTGGGAAAGTCCTTCCCTGCAGCTTGGGCCAAGACCTGGCATGCTGAGATAGCCTTCCCCTAAACATGGAGGTTCCAACGAATTATCACGGCTGCAGGCCACCACAAGTCCTACCCTCTCTCTGTTTATCTGCCCCTATTCCTTCCCCAAGCCAATCAGGCTCCTGGGCATTCCCACACCCAGCAGCTGGGAGTTCCATGGGTTAAAATCCAGGCCAAGCCCAACAGGGGATGGGCAGGTCTTGCCCTTGAGGTCTCAGCAACTGCCTTTGTTGAACCCCCAGAACTCCATGCAGGCTCAGGGCCCAGGTGAGGCACAGGAGTGGTAAACCGATCGGCTTAAACCTGGGTCAGCCCCAGTCAAGCAAGGGGAAGTCAGAATGTCAGAGAGGAAGAGGGAAGCAGATACAGGAAGGGCAAAGCCCCCCCCCCCCCCCGCAACCCCCAAAGCATGTCTGCACATTCCTGGGAGCAGAGCCAGGCAGACCCCAGGCAACGAAGCCCCGCGAGCTGCGGCAGGGTCTGCCAGCCACCTTCGCTCGCTCCAGAAGCGGCGCCTCCGCTCGCCCTCCGCTCTGTGCCACGGGGCACGCGCGGGCCAGGCCGGAGCAAGCGGGTCTCCGGGCGGCCCTGCAAACAGCCCGATCCCCAGCGGCCGGGAGGCGGCACCGGCCCTGCGGGATGACTCAGGCTGAGTTTGCAAACGGGCCGCTGGAGCGGGAAAGGCAGCCGTGCGTGGGGAAGGCTGTCCCTGGTAAGGCCAAAAGGGGACAGACGGAGCGCGGAGGGGCTGAGCATGGGGCGGAAGCCGACGCCGCTTCCCTCGCGCACAGCTGATTCACGCGCGTCCCTCTGTGATTCATTCATGCCTCCAGAGGCGAACGGCCTGGTGAATGAGCGCTGCGGCCCACGCGCGGCATCTTCCAGGGTCCGCGCATGCTGCTTCTCGCCTCGCGACCAGATCCGGAAAGGCAACACGGGGCGGCCACTCGAACCGCGGTGCCCACCTCCCCGGGGGCCCCGCAGAGGTGCTGGGCGGCAATCCCGACGCTTCTCCAGCATGGCCGAGCCGGCCAGCCCGGAGCCAGGCCAGTCCCTCAAGGCATCTGGAGGGCATCAGGTTGGCAAAGGCTGCAGGGCAGCGCGGGCGAGGTGAGGTCTGTGCACGGGGAAGAGGACCGTGTGAATGCCGAGTGTGTGAACCGAGTCCATCGGGAAGGCACTCAGCTGCAGGCAAAGCCCCATGAAACCAAGACCCACGACGGCACGGTTCGCACTTGCAAGTCATGGTTCCAACCCAGGTGCCGGAACCAGCCACACCAGGCACGGGGCGTCCAAGGCTGACCTGCAAAATCAGTTCACACGTTCGGCAGTCCCCAAGCTTAGCTAAGCCTACCTGTCACGGTCTCACCTGAATCACCATGATGGAGCCGGCGCTTCCTGCGCCTCAGCTCGGGGCAGGAAGGCGCTGGGCACTCGCGGCAAGAAGCGGCAAGGTGTCATTCCGCGTCGCTCCCGCCCCCACGACGACACAGATCCCCGGGGGGGGGGAGGCCCGCGCCGATCAACCCGCCGAGCCGCGGTCACGCGCCATGCTCGAACCGTCCTGCTTTCCCACGTGCACCTCGCTCTCGGGGAACTTTGCGCGGCGGCCGGGCGGGCGCGTCCGGGGCGCTCGGCGAGCTCAAGAGGCCGTCGGGGCGGATCCGGGCTTGATGTGCGGGGTGCGGCCGCGGGAGCGGAGCCCCGGCAGTCCGTTGCGCGCCGGCGGGAGGGCGCCTGGCCGGCTGATGGCGGGGGGGGGGGGGCGCTTCTCCGCTGGCGCGCCTCGCCCCGCCTGGGGAGCCGGCGCCTCTCCGAAGCAGCGCGTCCTCGCCGGCCTGAGACTCCGCCCGCCGCCGGGGCGAGCCTCCGAGGCGCTCGGTGGGAAGGATGCGGCCCGAGGAGGAGGCGCGGGAAGAGGTGGGGTCGCCGCCGGAGCCGGGGAGACGCGCCGCGCCCGCTGGCCGGCCTCAGGGCGGGCTGGCTGCGCCCGCAGAGCCGCCGCCGGGGCTCAGTGCCTCCATGGCCCGTCGCGGCAGCGGCAGCGCGGAGGGCGCGGGCGAGCGCACGCCTGGAGCAGCCGCGGCCCCTGCTCGCCCCCCTCCCGCGGCCGGATCATCCGGATCAGGAGCCCAGGCCGCCCATCCTCCTCCTGCGGGTCGCGGCTGTCGCGGTTCTCCGGGGGGCGAGGGCGAGGAAGAGGTGCCGGGGCTGAAGCTGGCCGGAGACGAGCAGGGTTGCGTAATGAAGCAGGCGCCCTGCCCACCGCATCTGGCTCGCCGGGGCGGGCTGGGCCGGGGCGGGGGAAGAGGCAGGGCGCTCTGCACATGCTCTTTGCTTCCTCGCGACCACCTGCAGCAGGCGCGGCTCACCCGGGCGAGAGTGCTCGTTTCCTCGCCCGGCGCTTTTCAGTCTGCGACAAGCGATGGCGAGATTTTTCGTATTACAGGACATTAACGCCCCGCCTTTCTTCCTCTTTCAGGGAACCCGAGGCAGCGCATAAGGCACTCCTCCTCGCTATTTTCTCTTCACAACAACCCTGTGAGGTTGGCTAGGCTGAGAGTCAGGGACTGGCCCAAAGGCACCCAGGGAGGCACCCAAGTGGGGACTGGAGAGTCGGTGCCCCGGTCCAGCGCTCCAGCCACTGAGCCACACTGCCGCTGAGCAGGAGAGCCGTGGACTGGCAGGGAAGGGTAGCAGCTCCAGGGGAGCTTCAGGAGGTGCTTAGGGGGAGATGGACCTGTACATGTTCAGAGCCCTCGTGACTTGGAGGAGGTCGACTTCAGATTACTCCTGTGTTGCCTTCCAAATTACCCTGAAAAAATGACATTTTTTTAATTAAATATTAAAATCACAAGAGAAAGCGAAGGACTGAGAAAAAGGCACTTTGCACATACCCAAAGATGATTCCATCCATTAAATGAGGGGCCTGAAATAAAATGCTGCTGTTGCACTCAGCCAGCCATGCCCTTCCCTGCAATACTCCATTACATTCACCCCTGTTCTTTTGCCATTGCTCCCCAATGGTCAAATAGCCTGGCCGCAGGCACCCTCTGTCTTCCTTGCACTCTGTGGGGGGATCCTTGTCTCCCTCGCTCCCTCCTGCCGTAGCTCTTGGGATTCCCGGGCTGCTGCTATCACCCTCGCAGAGTGAACAGCCACCTGACTGCAGATCTGTGCATTCAGGACATCGGAAACCCCCTTGCGGGAGGGCTGCTGGGCTGGCCGGATCATTTCCTGTTCCGCTTTGCTTTGGGGAGTGGGTGAGAACTTGGGATTCCCAATTGCTATGGAAACCCTTGGGGTTTT